ATATGAATTTGATCAAGGTCAGACCAATAGTTTTTAAGTTATTCTTAATAACTTATATTGACGTCGGCTGTACAAAATTTTTAATTTTAAATTATTCGATTACAATGTGGGTGCCTTCAAGGCGAGAGAGAATAGGATTTTGTTAAGTCAATACGCAATATCATCTTGTGCTACAGCATCAATTAGCATCAGGTGGGATAGTACTCGTAGTTACGCTTATAATAGATTAAAACAAGTGGTGAAACTAAAACTTTAGTGTAAAATATAAATAAAATGAGAACATCATCAATTAGTCGAAGTCAATTAAATATTTTTTTTTTATAGGATAGGAAGACAAACGAGCCCACAGTCCACCTAATGTTAAGTGGCTACTGTGACCCATAGACATCTACATCTATCCTCAATAAAGACTCAAGATGCAGATGCGTTGTAACCTGTGAGGACTAAGATGGAATGCCTCTTTGCCAGTAATAAGGGCCTCCGGTTCTCTACACTCTCCATACTAAGCACAGCAGCATTAAGCTGCTATTTTACGCTGGTCTTCTGTGAGAGCGTGGTCCTTCCCCGGTCGAGCCGACCCATTCGTGCTACAACTATACTACTAATATAGCTGCAGCATGGCTCTACCACGTGTAAAAATATATTAAATAAATTAAAAAATACGCATTATTAAGGATAACTCAAAAACTGTTGATCAGATTTTGATCAAATTTATACGGGACCACATGAGAAGTACTAGCTTTCAAATAAAAAAGAATCATCATAATTGGTTCATTTGAAAAAAGTTCTCAGGTAACACACAAAAAATACAGTTATATTGAGAACCTCCTCCTTTTCTGAAGTAGGTTGTTAATAATGCTTGGAAGTGTATCTTAAGCCCTCCTAGATCAGACCCTACAAGCAATATAAAGCATATCCATTAGCCATTACACCCTAATATCCATTCATCTATCCATTACAGCAAATAAAAGTCCACTACTGAATGTTCAGGGAGGTATATGTACCTCCCCCAAAAATTGTCTCATATTATAAGAGAATTTTGCCATATTTGCCACATTTGGCAGGTGGGTTGGCAACCATAGGTTTTTATTATTTTGATTTGTTATTAGGAAGGAACACCCATGGGATGATATGGGTGTTCCTAGATAGTGGATATTCTTACACCGCTACTGCACGTTATAAATATTGTATTCTATAATATTCTTTAATTAACATAAAAATTAACGCTATTTTTAGAATCATATCTTTATTCCAAGCATACAAAGTAGAATTTGGACTCACGAAATAGTTAAATCTAGAGACTGTTTCTTTATTCACTTATAAGGGATTATTAAACTATATTTTGGAAATGGCGTTGTGACCAGTACAAATGCGTTATCACTCGTTATCAGTTTCCTATCGATACATTATAGGCAAGGTGATAGATAAGGAGGCCTTGACAGTGATTAATGAAACATTTCATTCCAGTTAATAACTACTATTTAAATAATATGCGAACGACGGCGGAAATATACGACGGCTCCGTGGCGCAGTGACTTAGCAATGAGTTGCAGCGCTAAGGGTCATGGGTTCAAATCCTGCACGGAACAATTATTTGTATGGCCTACAAATAATTGTTCTGGGTCTGGACGTTTGCCCTTGTGAAATCTATGTATGTAAACTGCCCCCGCGATACAGGAGAAAATCCTAGTGAAAGAAGTAACGTTTTAAATAAATGATATTCTTTGTTACAAATATAATGTTCTCGAGACCGAATTTCGGTCACTGAGGCGAGCCTCAACGGAGATTAGCCTGTGAGATCGGCGCAGAACAGGATTATAGTGTCAAAGTGTATGCGCAAGCACAGGTGCACTCTCTGGTCCCTCACTCTCATAGTCCGATGGGGCGGTAAACCGACATGACCGGAGAGATATCAGGTGCAGGTGCCAACGGCTTTACGTGCTTTCCGAGGCACTGCGGTGATACACTGCTAACTTTCGGACTCCGGGCAGCTACGGAGAATTTCTTTACAGAAAAACTCAATACCTGATTATTTTTTCTGGGATTTGAACTTGGGACCTCATGATCAGTAATCACGTTTACGACCGCTAGACTAACGAGGCAATCATTGCAGATATATTTATATTAGGAATATAAACATTTTAACACAATACAATAACTAGTACATAGACACTTCAATCAATCAATCTTTATTTGCCAACCAAGTGTTCTTGAACTTACAAGTTATATGTTTTTGTTTAAATGTGACTAATAACTGTACAATTGCATATGTTTTATGACAACATAAAATATTGAACGATATATTCAAAGTGGCAGTAACAGCATATTGCTAATGCAGATGTCTAAATGTGCAATAAGCAAACAGGAAAAGGTGTAGAGAATCGGAACGTTCCGAGAAAAATGAAACTAATATTAGTTCAGTCCCTAGTGTTCTACATTTTTTCCTATAGATTATAGTCCTTGACTATAACTTTACTTAAACGTTAGCTAACGAAGAAAGATAGAGACATTCGAAATGGTGCTTGCGACATGTACGACGCATTCTTTGAACAAACAAAACTCCATGGCACCCTCTTTTAAATTTTTTCGACAATTTCTCTACACGTCCGCACAGATTAGCGTAGAACATAACGGTCATAGCGGAAAGCGGAAGAGTTAGAGGCAGGCTATCTGTCAAATGTATTGGTCAAGCCACACAGCTGAACATTTCACGCAAAACAAACGCTATAGTTTGATTATAAAAATTGTGTTACATACGTACGTGACGAACGTCGCGAAAATCTTAATTTTTCACATGTTTAATAAATTGTTTTAACATATATTTTAAATTATTATTTAACATTTCACAAATACTCGGATAACTACAGTATTGCCAATGCAAGAGGTGCGCAATGTCCATGAAGTTACCACGGTCAATTCATGTGCAAATATTACAACTGAAATGTTAGAACCTCACGTCAAAACATTACAGTAATACCGACACTAGGCGGGTTGTTCTTATGTCATTACACACATAACTTTACAAACAAACCTTAGAACAAACACACAAGTAAGTTAAGTCAATGTTGACAAGCGACGCGGAAGCGTGTCACACTTAGCCTAATGTTTATGTAGATTATGAACAATAAATATTAGATAACAAAATCAGCATCAGCCTGTGAACTAAACAGGTTTTTTTTAAGTTATAAAGTTGAATTGCTAATAACATAATATAATATATGCATATATATATATATATATATATAACTTCTTTACCTATCATACCGGAACACAACTGTGTTGAATACGTAGGTATTTGATCTTACAGTTGGAAATATGCATTTCTGTTTGGTCCTAAGTACTTTAAGCTTTTAAGAAGCAAATCAACAACCCATTCTAACCAGTAGGAAACTATGAAACCTTTTTTTAATAATGCTAATAATACGATTTTGCTAGTTAATGAAATTAGTTCATGTGTTAATCATAAAGTTATAATGCAACTGATAATCTAAGGTATACATAAGCAAGGTATATTACTTTATTAGCTTATAACCACTAAACAGGTGATCATCATTTTCCTTTTTATAATTTTTTTCACATCACGAGTATGAGTCATATCCTGAGACAAATGGTTGTCGCTAAACTACAATAAAAATGATTTTATTGTAGATTTACTATATAAGTTAAAACGTCTTGAGGCGGCGTGGCGTCACAGCTACTTTAATTTAAAAGCGTGATATTTTCAAGGTTACTGCAAAAGTCCTTATGCCGTCCACTATTGCATACGCACAGTTCTTCAACGTTCAGATGTTTTGCTATAAGCACCACAATCGAATGATACGAACGAGCAGCGGAGACCATGTTTCGTCACCGTTTCACTTTACATGTGTATAAAGTCAAAATAAAAATATTTTTATTTGAAATTGACCTTTACAATGTCAAGTTCAACTCACAGAATATCAGAGTAAATAAACAGCCTAATGCTGCTGTTTCGTATGATGAGTGTAGAGAACCGAATACCCTTTTTACTGGATACGATACGAGGCATTCCATCTTAGTCCTCAGAGGTGACAACGGATCTGCATTTTCATTCTTAATCGAAGATAGACGTAGATGTCTATGAGCTACAACATCCACTTATCATCAGATGGACTGTGTGCTCGTTTGTCATACTTATTCTATAAAAAAAATTTGAAGGTAAAAGTCCCAAGAACCTCACAAGTAAACTATTTTCCTTACCTACTTTATTAAGACACACATTAAAAAATTCACAAATAAACGTTTATATTTTAAATTTAGTAATACATCAGTAAGACGATACTAAAGATACTGATAAGTATGTAAATATTTAATTATACCGTTACCGTTACAGCCTCCCCTATAGATTGAGTAAAAGGGGGGGATGTTTACTATAGTAGCCATGCTTGGTAGGCGAGTTACCGTAACCGCAGTTTTTATTTTTTAGTTAATATTAGTAAGACGCTGCTTCCTATCTCCTGGCTTGTTTCCCTCTGTCACCTCTTACGACACCCACTGGACAATATGGGTAGTGAATATTCTTTTATACATGATGAGGTATTGAAATACGTGATTTTTAGATGAAAACGTTGAATGAAACTAATTTCACTTTTTAACTTCCATCGTTTCAGATGCCTTACAGCACCCTTGGTCACGGGGTGGACGACTGATATGTTTGATATCCCGATGCCAAAGTTATCCCGGCTACCTTCCCAGCTTTTGAATATTATTTTTTGGTTCGATCTACGCAAAACGAGCTTACAGTATCTTGAAGTTTTGCAGTAGTTTACTTGGGTTTGGATTTAATTTTATTAATTATAGGATCCCAAGTAGATTTTTTACTATTGAAATCAGAATTTTTTTCAATAGCCTCGCGAATCATTCTTTATAGAAATCGTTGTTCTTTTGCGAGGATTTGTGGTCTATCAAACCCGATGTAAAATTAGTTTCATGTAATGCGTAGTATTCGCGTAAATATAACAAATTAGACTAAAATGTCTTACCTGCCCCCTAATCGTGAGCTTCTTACAGTCCTTGGACAGCAGATCCCTGACGTCCTCCAAGTACAGCTCGACGTAGGAGCACGAGACGAGGTGGGTAACGTCGGGCGAGGCGGTGTTCTCGATGTGCGCCCACAGGTGGCGGAACGCGCGCGGGATGATGCCCTCGTCGTCCGGCGTCCCTTCCATCGTGTGGGTCTTGCCCGTGCCAGTCTGCCCGTACGCAAACACGCACCCATTGAAGCCGTCGAGCACCGACGCGACCAGTGGACGCACCTAGGACATAAATTTAAGTTTGACTTACTTTAGGAAACACTATTAAATTTGAAGGATTGTCTCTAAATATCATTGCAAATTTTCGTTTCTTAATCATTATCACGTCCGTGTAGTGGCGGTGTAAGAATATCCACTACCCTATATCGTCCCACGGTTGTAGTAAGAGGCGGCAGAGGGAAACAAACCAGGAGATGGGCAGCTTGCTAATAGCAATTGACGGCTTCGTGACGCAGGGGCTTAGCATTGAGTTACGGCGCTGAGCCTCTTACGACACCCACGGGACAATACGAGTGTAGTAGACATTCTTACACAGCCACTACGCAGTCATGGACCTTGTCTATTGTAGAGAGATATTATCTTAGTCGTAACGCTTGTCAGTTGGATCGACCATCGCAGTATCAGACCAGACGTATTGCACCTTTGCCAAAGCTACCCGACGTCGGTGTCGGTATTTTGTACCTGGTGTAATCGAGATCAATCGGAAGCTATAAGATTTTTTGACGTATCCAATAGTCGTCCCGTTAAGACACCCACGTTTTTTTTTCATTAGAGTCCAACTAATGACAATTAATATTTTCACGTAATGATTTTTTTAACAATTAGCGTGAAACCCGAGCTATGAGGCCACTTGATGTAAAGTGTCTACTGCTTCCCATGTGTTGGGATCCTGCATCGAACTACAAACAAAGAAGACAACAACTGTGTTATCTCTTCTGAAGACTAAGATGGAATGGCTGACGGCATGTCACCGTTACCATTACAACTTACGAAAAGTTAATTACTGAACATCAGATTGCCCATAAGAGAGATGCTTGCCATAGTTGTCACGCTTCGTAAGCGGGTTGACAAACGCAGTTTTTTTGTTGTTATACGGAAGACGCTGCTGCACATCTCCTTTGTTGCCCTCTGTCGCCTCTTACGACACCCACGGGATGATGTGGAGTAGTGGATATTACACCGCTACTACACGGTCAAGATACACAACATGTAACTGTGTCTACTACACTTGTTAAACCTTAATAGGATTTTATAGCTGTTTTTGTATATATACTTATTTTTTTGTCTTAAACAAAAAATGCAAGTACATAGTGGTGACGTCAATGACGGACAACTGATCTTAGTGTCAGTGGAACAACGCTTCAATGGAAAAAAAAGAACTTCACTTGCAAGTATTACTCAAAACGATTACTCTAAGATAGATTCCCATTCCAAGCACGTGCCTAACTTAATTGGTTTTGATTTTAATCTTGACCTATCTCGAGCGCGAAGGTTACCATGCAAAAAGCTTATTATGATTTTATTAAGTAAAAAACACGAATAATGACGTATGTATTTTTTTTGTTTGTATATAAAATTCGCGACTGTGGGATTTTCCTGTCTTCATTGTTGGGAGGTAATGAATGAATAGACTTTTTTTATAAACATGTAGTGACAAAGGAACTTAAGAGTCCAACTAATGGTAAGTGGCTACTGCGGTCTGTGCGCACCTGCAGCCAACTTTAAACACAGAAGGCTACAGTTACATTGTCACCTCCGAGGACTAAAATATATAAGATAGGAACGTCTCACAGTATGTATGTAATTATACTGGCTCCAATAACCCTTCATACCAGAACACAGTGGTGCGAACACTTGTGGCGGCGCTGTCGTCGCGCCACAAGCGAAACACATCGAAGTCTAAATCGCGCTAAGAAAGTTCCGAAGTTAAAGCAGTATATATAGAATAGCTCCGAACTACCACTAGGAGCGTTGGCCGCTCCCCGGGCAGATCACCTTGCCCGGCGGGAGATCTCCCCTTTTCCTTCCACCGGCTGCACACTATTTGGAGGCAAAAACCCATGGCAACCTACCTAGACGGACTCCTAGGCAGAAAAGGATTTTTTTAATATAGAATAAGGGTGATAAACGAGCACACAGCCCACCTGATTGTCAGTGGATGCTGTGGCCCATGGACATCTAATCTACCCTCGATTAAGGACCAAAATTCAGATGCATTGTCACCCCCGAGAACTAAGGTGGAATGTCTCGTATCCAGTAAAAAGGGTCTCCGGTTCCCTACACTCACTATACGAAACACAGCAGCATTAAGCTGATATTTTACGCTGGTATTCTGTGAGAGCGCAGGGCTTCCCTAGTCGAGTCGACAAATTCGAGCTACAACTATAATATGGCTGCAGCATAGCTCTACCACGTATAAAACCTAATAAAATAGAACCTTGGAAAAACTTATAATGTCCAGGGGTTTTCTTTGGGTATTTTAGCATAGGATGAACTGCACACTCATTTGTCACTACTACTCAAATGCGATAAACAACAATTTCAAAGTTTCTGGTTCAGTGAAATATTATAATAAATTCGGAAAGCCCTAACTAACCGCAGTACAAACGTTCCATAGAAGTGGTGCATGTCCCAAAAATTGTCAATATTGGTCTATTGCGATTCGAATTGTTTTTTTGTTTTTATAATTTGAGCTTGCCATTTGATACAAATTATATACAGGTTGACGTCAAATATTACAGTTTACCAGTTTTTTTTTTCATTCATGAAACACACTATCACTTCGTAGATTCATTTTGTTAGAAAAATGTATATACGTACGTGCTTAGTAATTCTACATTCATTTTGCACGTTGGGGATATGTATAGTATAAAAAATTATATTTTAGCAACTTTTATATCTATACATATAAAAAATGATGTATTTGCCGGTAAGGTTGAAATAACAGCCTCATATTGAGCTGAGCTGCTTATCTGCATGCAATTAGACATGAATAATTAATTTTAAAATCTGTCTGTCTGTTCGGGCTTCGGAAGTGGCGGAACCCTGAACCGATTGTAAATGAAAGTTCACGAACCGATAAAGAAGAATGTTAGGAGTGATCTAGACTATATTTTATCCGAAAATCTAGAAATAAATGGTCTTTGATTAAAATTAAATAACGCCACATCAATAGACCCTGCCCAGATAAAACCAGGACGAGTCGCTATTTATACCATAAAATATAATTACGAGTAGATTAAGAAAAAGAAATTCTAAAAATTTCCGACCAGCTATCCAAAATTTAAGCATATATTATGCGATTGTTATTAGTTAGTCAAAATACATAATAGTGTCCTCCTCCCAACCGTTCCGTTCGGGATTCGAAACCGAGGCCCACAACACAGCAGTCAAATGCCGCTACTGTATTAGCTCAAAAAAAATGAGTATTAATATAGTAAGAAAATTGTAAATGATAACGCACTCGTCACAAAATAATAATGTTACCTGCATTATTACAAAACAACCAATAATATATGAAATGCGTAATACCAGCGCTGGTCTACTGAAATCAGGACGGTAATTCTGCCCGCCGGCCGCTAAGTCGTAAAGCACGCGCACCTTAACTCTGTTATTATAATACATAACAGTACAGAATAAGAAATATAATGAATTTAGGAATTATAGCATATAAACATAAAAATAAAAAATACAAATACCATACATACATATACATATATATATATATATATATATATATATATACAAACCACATACACACATATACATATACACAAATTCACATATAAATACATATATACACACAAATATACATATATACGTAAAAAACATATATGATGAAATTAACTATTAACACAGATTAACTCAGAAGAATAAGAAATATAATGAATTTAGGAATTATAGCATATAAACATAAAAATAAAAAATACAAATACCATACATACATATACATACATATATATATATATATATATATATATATATATATATATATATACAAACCACATACACACATATACATATACACAAATTCACATATAAATACATATATACACACAAATATACATATATACGTAAAAAACATATTATGATGAAATTAACTATTAACACAGATTAACTCAGATGATGACGCCAACTTAGGAGTTCTTTACGACTTTCAGAAAATGTTCTTTAACATACTTTTTAAATGTTACTTTGTTGGAGCGTTTTCTCAAAGTTTCAGGCAGTGCATTCCAAAGTCGCGCAGCTCGTACAGCAAACGAGGAAGAAGAGAAACCGGAACGGTGAAGTGGAATGGAGAGCGTAAGAGTCTCCGAAGAACGTAGAGGTCTATTATGTGTATCAGATAGAAATTGAAACTTACGTTTCAAATAGTCGGGACAACGATTGTCGAATAAAATAGAAAAAAGTGTGAGAAGTGTTCTGACTTGCCTCCGTTGGCGAATGGGAAGCCAATTTAGCTGAAATCTAAAGGAGGAAACATGGTCAAACTTGCGAAGACAGAAGATGAATCGGACACAGTTGTTTACGAGACGATCCAGCTTGTCTAGAAGGTTCTCATTAAGATCAGTACAACACACATCAGCATAATCAATAATGGGCAAAATAAGAGACTGCACCAGAGTTATCTTTACCTTGACCGGAAGGAAGTTTCTAAGGCGATTTAGGGCACCCAACTTAGCAGTAACTGAAGCACTTATTGTTTGAATGTGAGTGGACCAATTGAGAGTTGAGTCCATACAGAGGCCTAGGTTTTTCACAGTGCTGGAATAAGGGATGCATGATCCATCAAACATGACAGGAGCGACAGAACAAATATCAAGTTTAGATAACTGACGAGCACTTCCTATTAAAATTGCTTGGCATTTGTTAGGATTCACTAGAATGCCAAATTTGCTAGCCCAATTGCTTAAATTTAATAAATCTGTATTAATATTGATAACAGCATTATCAATGTGATCCACATCAGTCTGAGTATAAATTTGCAAGTCGTCGGCGTAGAAATGGTAAGAACAGCAAAGTTGAGAGGAAAGGAAGTTAATAAAAATAGAGAACAATAAAGGAGATAATATTCCACCCTGTGGCACGCCAGATACAAGCTGACACCAGTCAGACAAATGATTACCAACTCGAACAGCTTGTTGGCGACCACAAAGGTAGGAAGAGAACCAATTTAAAGCAATGGAGGAGAAGTTTAGATTACCGAGCATAGCGAGGAGAAT